AGTCCTCTTCAGATATGTGATTTGAAAAAGTTTGCTCCCAGTATGCAGCTTCTTTTCCATTCTCTTAACAGCATCTTTCAAAGAGCAGAAGTTCTTAATTTCATAAAGTCCAATTTATCCAAATTTTTATTTTTATGAATGGTGTTTTTGGTGTGGTGTCAAAGAGATTTTTGTATAATCCAGAGTCACAAAGATATTCCATTATGCTTTTTTCTAGTATTTTTATTTTAAATTTCTTTCTTTGGTATATCATAAATTTTGAGTTAATATTTGTATACACGACAAGTTATGAATCAAACAAATTTTTATGTATGGATATACAAATGTGCCAACACCATTGTTGAATTTTCTTTCTCCAGTAAACTATCTTTGCACTTTTGTAAAGCACCCATTACACAAGTCTATTTCTGAACTTTCTATTCTATTCTATGGATCTATTTGTCTATCTTTTTGAAAATACCACATTATCCTGCTTGCTCCAGCATTCTCAAAACACTTGAAATCAGTAATATTCCTCTGAATCTGTTGTTCTTTTTCAAAAGTTTTCTATTCTAGGTCTTTTGTATTTCTACATGAATTTTAGAGTGAGCTTGTCAGTTTCCACCAAATAAAACTGATTATGATTGGAATTGCACCGAACCCCTAAATAAACTGAAGAATAGTCATCTTAACAATACGAACCTACCAAAACATGAACACACTAGATGTCTACATTTTTACATTTTCTTTAACTACCCTAAGCATTATTTTGTACTTTTTACTATGCAAAATTAAGTGCTTTTATCAGTTTATCTCTGTATCATTTTTATTCTATTTTAAAAGCTAATTTTATTTCATAGTACAATGGTTCATTNACAGGGATTGAACCCTGGACTTTGGTGTTATCAGCACCATGCTCTAACCAACTGAGCTAACGGGCCAAGCTTTCATTTCTAATTATACATATTTATTGGTACAACATGATACTTTAATACATGTATACATTGAGTAATGATCAAATCAGGGTAATTACCATATCCATCATCTTAAACATTTATTATTTTTTTTGTGATGAGAACATTTAAAAACCTCTCTTCTAGCTATTTTGAAATATACAATACAATATTGTTAACTCTAGTTGTCTTACTATGCAATCGAACACCAAAATTGATTGTTTCTAACTGGGGCTTTGCACCTGTTCACCAGTCTCTCACCACTACCCCCTCCCTGTTCCCCTCTCCATCTTCTGGTAACCACCATTCTACTCTCTACTTCTATGAGAACAATTTTTTAGATTCCACATATGAGTGAGATAATGTGGTATTTGTCTTTTTGTGGCTTATTCCACTTAAAATAATATCCTACAATTCATACATGTTGCCGTAAATGACAGGATTTTATTCTTTTTTATGGTTCAATAGTATTCCATTGCATATATATTATATTATTACAATGTTATGTATCTATATCACATTTTCTTTATCCGTTCACCCACTAATAGATGATTAGGTTGATTTCATACCTTGGCTATTGTGAATAGTGCTGCTATAAACATAGCAGTGCAGATATCTCTTTGGTATACTGATTTCTTTTCCTTTGGAGATACACTCCAGGAGTGGGATTGCTGAATCACATGGTAGTCCTATTTTTTATTTTGGGGAAAACCTCCATACTGTTTTCCATAATGGCTGTACTAACTTACATTCTCACCAGGGAGATACACTCCAGGAGTGGGATTGCTGAATCACATGGTAGTCCTATTTTTTATTTTGGGGGGAACCTCCATACTGTTTTCCATAATGGCTGTACTAACTTACATTCTCACCAGCAGTGTGTATGTTTTCCCTTTTCTCCACTTCCTTGCCAACATTTGTTATCTTTTGATTTTTTCACAGTAGCCATTCTGACTGGTGCGAGGCGATACCTCATTGTGGTTTTGATTTGCATTTCCCTGATGCTTAGTGATGTTGAGCATTTTTTCTTGTATCTGTTGGCCACTTGAATATCTTCTTTTGAGAAATGTCCATTCAAGTATTTTGTCCATGCTTTAATTGAGTTATTTGCATTTTTTGTTGTTGAGTTGTTTGAGTTCCTTATATATTTTGAATATTGACCCCTTATCAGATGTATGGTTTGCAAATATATTCTATTCTGTAGGTTGTCTCTTTGCTCTGTTGACTGTGTCCTTTGCTGTACAGAAGCTTTTTAATTTGATGTAATCCCATCTGTCCATATTTACCTTTGTTGTTCATGCTTTTGAGGTTTTATCCAAAAAATCCTTGCCTAGACCAATGTCATGCAGAATTCCCCCTATGTTTTCTTCTCATAGTTCTGTAGTTTCTGGTCTTACACTTAAGTTTTTAATCCACTTTGAATTAATATTTGTATATGGTGAGAGATAAGAATCTAGTTTCATTCTTCTGCACGTGGATGTCCAGTTTTCCCAGCACCATTTATTGAAGACACTGTCTTTTCCCCATCATGTGTATTGGCATCTTTGTCAAATATCAGTTGGCTATAGATGCGTGGATTTATTTCTGGGCTTTCTATTCTGTTCCATTGGTCTATGTGCCTGTTTTAATGACAAAACCATGCAGTTTTTGTTGCTATAACTTTGTAGTATGTTTTGAGGTCAGGTAGTGTGATGCCTCCAGCTTGGTTCTTTTTGCTCAGGATTGCTTTGGCTTTTAAGGGTCTTTTGTGGTTCCATACAAATTTTAGGATTGCTTTTTTATTTCTGTCACTGGCATTTTGATAGGCATTGCATTGAATCTGTAGATTGCTTTGGGTAGTATGGATATTTTCATAATATTAATTCTTCTAATTCAGGAACACAGGATCTCTTTTCATTTCTTTCATCAGTGTTTTATAGTTTTCATTGCAGATATCTTTCAATTCCTTGGTTAAATTTATTCCTAGGTATTTTATTTTATTTTTATAACTATTGTAAAAAAAAGATTGCTTTCTTTATTTCTTTTTCAGATAATTTGCTATTGGCATATAAAATGTTACTCATTTTTGTCTGTTGATTTTGTATCCTGCAACTTCACTGAATTTATTTATTAGTTCTAATAGTTTTTTGATGGAGTCTTCAGAGTTTTTTTGCATATAAGGTTATGTCATCCTCAAACAGAGACAGTTGGACTTCCTCCTTTCCAATTTGGATGTTCTTTATTTATTTCTCTTGCCTGATTGCTCTGGCTAGGACTGTAGTACGATGTTGAATCATGCTGTAAATCTATTTGTTTTTTCATGCTGTAAATCTAAATAACTAAGTTTCCTCCCCTGGAATATATCTATTTATCATTCTAAATCCTAGTCCCCCTTTCCTATGTTTTTGCCTATTTCTTAAACTGCATTATAGGGCCAGATTTCATTATTGCAGGAAACATATTTCTCAGGATGTGTTCTTGAATAGACATTGAACAGGGCAATACTGATCCCTTGCTGAGGATAAATTGTTTTAACCATATATTCATACCCTTTACTAAAACTAAACTTATCAGAACATTCTTTTTGTAAAGAGAAAGGGGGAAAATGGCAAATGACTGATTGCAGCTATCAGCTTTCCCTGACTCTACAGATATGTAAGGCAGAGAGAGAACATGGCCTTGGAGGAAGGAGAGGGGAAAACAAATGAAAGTGACCTTTTCATACTCAGATAGGTTATCTCTTGTAACTCTTGAAACCAGTCTGCTTGAAGTTCTCCTGAAAATAGAGGATAAAACAAATGACTGGGTACTAGAGGGTTCGAAATAAAATTGTTGTAAACACTAAGAGTATTTAGTCATTGTTTATAATATGTTGGTTTAATTTATTCATAATGGTAATTATCAATTCTACATATTTTCTCTCTCCTTTGAACCTACTCTTCTTATATACAAAGGGAAAGTCTTCAGCGATGGTCAAAGATTTTATAAACAGGCATGTGGATTGTGTGATGCACAAAATCTCGTGAATATCCCCAAAATTACAGGTCACTACGTCCACACAGCTGAGACTGTCATGCATAGAATACACACATTGTATTTCTGACTACCAATATACTGCAATTCTACAGTACCATTGTGTGGGTATGGGTGTGGGTATGTGTGGATGTGTGTGTATGTTTAATAGGAGCTGTAATGTGATGTAATGTAGGAGAAAAAGTTTAGGGTGGAGTACAATAAGGTTTGGTTTTCAATTCAGAATTAACAGCATCCGTGCTTACCAGGTGACTTTGGGTAAAACGTTTAGAATGTCAGAGCCTATTTCATCACCTTGTATATGTGGGCAAAAAATATATATATAATATTAACAACAACAAAATGAATCTTTTTCTGTGCCAGGAACTGTCTTAAGTACTTGACACACATTATCTCATGTAATCTTTATAACAACCCTATGCATCTGACTCCCAATCTTGTATTAATCTTTGAGATATTATTGAGGGTTGAAAGTTGCATGAGATAATGCTCATAATGGTTGGTGTGCTTATTAAGTATTTGCCTCAAATAGGTAATATCAGCTACTTCTTATTTCTTTGGACACTTGGATGCATCAAAGGAAATGAGATTGGCAATAATTAAGAGAAAAGAATACCAGTGATATCATTCTGTTTGGACTGCACATACTGAATGATGTTCAGGCAGAAAATCTTATTTCTTTGGACACTTGGATGCATCAAAGGAAATGAGATTGGCAATAATTAAGAGAAAAGCATACCAGTGATATCATTCTGTTTGGACTGCACATACTGAATGATGTTCAGGCAGAAAATCTGATGTATTTCTATAGTTTGTAGCCATTCAATGCTTGACACAATCTGACATACATACAATATATCTCTGGCATTAAATTTTATTAAGTGCAAAATTAGAAAAATTTCTAAAAAGCTTTTCAAAGTTTCAAGTGGAGAAAAAGCCTTCAGGCAAAATTAGACTTTTTGATATTTTTTTTCCCTTGGCATGGCTTAAGAGTTGCCCCTGAGTTACATGACTTAACCATTCTGCCTCATGCTGTCCCCTCTGTTTAGCTGGCTTTGGAAGAACTACCAATATGTACTGGCTTTTCTCTTTGCCATTGGAGAAATCAACAACAGCCCCCACCTGCTCCCCAACATGTCCCTGGGTTTCAGTCTCTACAACGCCTTTAATGGTGACCAAGAAAACATAGAGAAGGCCCTGTTTGGGCTCTCAGGAAGGAACCAGATTCTGCCAAATTACAACTGCCAGAAACACAAAAAATCAGTTGCCATCATTGCAGGAACCATGCCAGCATTTTCAGAACAAATTGGAACACTTCTGGAGCTCTACAAAATCCCACAGGTAAGTGGTTGTGAATTCCAGGGAGAGAAGATCAGATCTTCTTCAGTGTCATTCCCTCCCGTCTGATTAAACGGGAAAAAGGAAGGCGGGGGGACATATCCCTCAACAGATCCCAGACAATTCCTTGGCTTGTGAGATTATTAGCTGTAGTGAGTAAAAGGAAGGAGAATTGTGGTGGATACTTTGAAGCTCCATCTAGATCCTTAGGCACAATGTATCCATCCCCGAGCTACTGGGAAATACCAGCTGCTGAAAGTTCACAGCTCGGTGCCTCGCAGGAAACATCTGTACCACAGGGAACTGCCTATTCCAGAACAGCCCTCCTTGGGGAGTAGCCAGAGGCCAGCGACTCACTGATATAGGCATGCAAAGTCCTGACCCCCTTGTCTCATTTTCAGATAATAATTAAGTGCCCTACCAACTGGCTGAGATTCAGTGACATCTGTATTGTTATTCAGCGTCCCTCTCTGCTCAATTCCCATAAAGGTATCTCACGAGCACCCCATGAAGACATATGCAACTCTCCACCTCACAGTCTCTTTCCAAAAGACCCAACCTAAGACAAGCAGAAGTCAAGAGCTATTCATGCCAAACAAGAAAACATTAGCTTAGGAGAATTCTGTTCTGGAAGAATTATTTTTTTATAAAATCAGAGAGGGCTGGT